AAAGTGGCTCATTCCCCCGGAGCCTGCTGGCATGATGCTTCCCCGAGCTCTCGCGGAATTTGACACCACCCGTGCCCTTCGACCCATTGGCGTTTCCTTACGCCCCGGGTGTGTTGCATCATGAAGCTTTCCTCCGCTTGTGCTATTGCCTTGCTGGCTGCACATGCTGCTGGGGCGTCCATAAAGCACCGAATCAATGGCTTCACCCTAACGGAGCATTCTGACCCGGCCAAGCGGGAACTGTTGCAGAAATACGTATGCGCTTCCATGGTTAGCAGCGCTTCTAGCAACTGATTTGGTGTTTACTAGGTCACTTGGGATGACAAATCTCTCTTCATTAATGGCGAAAGAATCATGATCTTCAGTGGCGAGTTTCATCCATTCCGGTAATACTGCCCTTCCTTCTCTCTATACTCGTGTTGACTCAGGGTTTCTTGTTCGCTCTAGACTACCAGTAAAAGAACTCCAGCTTGACATCTTCCAAAAGGTCAAGGCGCTAGGATTCAACTGCGTATCCTTCTACGTCGACTGGGCCCTTGTTGAAGGAAAGCCGGGTGAGTACAGGGCAGACGGCATTTTTGACCTGGAGCCGTTCTTCGACGCGGCCTCGGAAGCAGGTATCTATCTGCTCGCTCGTCCAGGCCCCTATATCAACGCGGAGAGTTCCGGCGGTGGTTTTCCCGGATGGTTGCAGAGAGTCAATGGCACTCTTCGCACAAGTGACAAGGCCTACTTAGAAGCTACTGATAAGTACGGCAAAAATCGCCCTGGGGGCTTCTGGCGCCTGCTGACTTTGTCACAGCTACGCTTCTCACATCGCTGCAACCATTGCCAAGTACCAGATTACCAATGGCGGTCCAATTATCCTGTATCAGCCCGAAAATGAGTACACTAGTGGCTGCTGCGGTGTCGAGTTCCCCGACCCGGTGTACATGCAGTACGTTGAAGACCAGGCTCGTAATGCCGGTGTCGTGATACCGTTGATCAACAACGACGCTTCGGCTTCGGGGAACAATGCTCCTGGAACTGGTAAGGGGGCAGTCGACATTTACGGCCATGATAGCTATCCGTGAGTTTAGCATATTCTTCATTGAAAACACTGGCTGACAACTATAGGCTTGGATTCGACTGCGTATGTTTATCTTGCAATCAGTGTGCTCGTTGCTAATTTGTCCAGGCGAACCCTACGGTATGGCCCTCGGGTGACCTGCCTACCAACTTCCGTACCCTTCATCTTGAGCAAAGCCCTACGACGCCATATGCGATAGTTGAGGTCAGTATACGTACCCTTTGCTAGCATTTCGCGTTTAACACCTCGCAGTTCCAAGGTGGTTCGTACGACCCTTGGGGAGGACCCGGATTCGCTGCGTGCTCTGAACTCCTGAACAATGAGTTCGAGAGAGTGTTCTATAAGAACGACTTTAGCTTTCAGATTGCCATTATGAACCTGTACATGGTACGTGTGCTGGAAACCTAGGCTAGTATATGGCTAATTTGGGTAGATCTTTGGTGGAACTAATTGGGGCAACCTCGGTTATCCTAACGGATACACCTCCTACGACTATGGTTCGGCTGTGACTGAATCTCGCAACATCACCCGCGAGAAATACAGTGAACTCAAGCTTCTTGGCAACTTCGCGAAAGTGTCTCCGGGTTATTTGACGGCCAGTCCTGGCAATCTGACAACTTCCGGATATGCTGATACAACGGACCTGACTGTAACGCCTCTGCTCGGAAACAGCACTGGCTCTTTCTTCGTGGTTAGACATTCGGACTACAGCAGCGAGGATTCAACATCATACAAGCTTCGTCTTCCTACCAGTGCTGGTACCGTGACTGTTCCTCAGCTTGGTGGCACGCTCACGCTTAATGGTCGCGATTCGAAAACACACGTGACCGACTACAATGTCTCTGGAACGAACATTATCTACTCTACCGCCGAGGTCTTCACCTGGAAGAAGTTTGCCGACGGAAAGGTTCTCGTGCTTTACGGAGGTGCAGGTGAACACCACGAACTTGCCATTTCAACCAAATCGAATGTCACGGTTATCGAAGGATCCGAATCTGGTATTTCGTCAAAACAGACCTCCTCGTCTGTAATTGTAGGTTGGGATGTGTCGACCACTCGCCGCATCATCCAAGTTGGCGACCTGAAGGTTCTTCTCCTTGGTAGGTTCACTTCCCCAGCTGAATCACATGAAGCTAACTATTAGCAGACAGAAACTCTGCCTATAACTACTGGGTGCCTCAACTTGCCACAGATGGCACTTCACCAGGATTCAGCACATCGGAGACGGTCGCCTCATCCATCATCGTCAAAGCGGGCTACCTTGTTCGGACTGCGTACCTGAAGGGCAGCGGTCTTTACCTCACCGCAGACTTCAACGCTACCACTTCCGTTGAAGTGATTGGTGTCCCGTCTACGGCTAAGAATCTATTCATCAATGGAGACAAGACGTCGCACACCGTTGACAAGAACGGCATCTGGTCAGCTACTGTCGAATACAACGCCCCTGATATCTCGCTTCCCAGCCTGAAGGACTTGGACTGGAAGTATGTGGACACTCTTCCTGAGATCCAGTCTTCCTACGATGATTCTCTCTGGCCTGCCGCAGATCTCAAACAGACCAAGAATACGCTTCGGTCTCTGACGACTCCTACCTCTCTGTACTCATCCGATTATGGCTTCCACACTGGCTACTTGATCTACCGCGGACACTTTACCGCCACAGGCAACGAGAGCACCTTTTCGATCGATACACAGGGTGGATCAGCGTTCGGAAGCTCTGTCTGGCTGAACGGAACCTACCTCGGGTCTTGGACCGGTCTCTACGTAAACTCCGACTACAACGCCACCTACAAATTGCCTCAACTCCAGGCAGGCAAGTCTTATGTCATCACCGTCGTGATCGACAACATGGGCCTCGAGGAGAACTGGACCGTTGGTGAGGATCTGATGAAGACCCCGCGTGGTATCCTGAACTTCCTGCTTGCTGGACGCCCGGGCAGTGCCATCAGCTGGAAGCTGACCGGAAATCTTGGCGGCGAGGACTACGAAGACAAGGTTCGCGGTCCCCTGAACGAGGGCGGTCTCTACGCTGAGCGCCATGGCTTCCACCAGCCGGAGCCCCCGAGTCAGAATTGGAAGTCTTCCAGCCCTCTTGAGGGACTTTCCGAGGCAGGCATTGGTTTCTACAGCGCCAAGTTTGACCTTGACCTTCCCAAGGGCTGGGATGTGCCACTGTTCCTCAACATCGGCAACAGCACTACGCCATCCCCGTACCGCGTGCAGGTCTATGTCAACGGATACCAGTATGCTAAATACATCAGCAACATCGGACCTCAAACCAGCTTCCCTGTCCCTGAGGGAATTCTGAACTATCGTGGAACGAACTGGTTGGCGGTGACCCTGTGGGCTCTTGACTCGGCTGGCGGCAAGTTGGAAAGCTTGGAGTTGAGTTACACCACTCCGGTGCTGACTGCCCTTGGGGAAGTCGAGTCGGTCGATCAGCCCAAGTACAAGAAGCGGAAGGGTGCATACTAGGTTCTGTAAATAGCACAGTCTATCTTGTCTCGAATTATCATAGGATAGCCAAATATTCTCCTGTCGGCTCAGTCAAGTGCCCGGGAGGTCGAGAAATTCAAACATATTATGAGATGCTATTTGAAGCTACGGCACTTAAGTAGCACTGGGGTCTATCACAAAATTATAAGCAGAATCAGGGGAGCAATTGGTATCGTATTGGCGATACAAAGGAACGGGTAGTGAGATGGTGAGAAAAAAAAAAGTGAAAATGAAAAAAGAGTGTGCATCATCCGTGAATCGAACACGGGCCTCATCGATGGCAACGATGAATTCTACCACTAGACCAATGATGCTAGTTGATGTAAGAGCATGCTAGTTAATGCTCTATGTTCCAGTGATACTACAGAGACGGTGATTGTAACGGCAACAAAAAATTGTATGATGGGGTGGCATTATCGTTGCTAATAAACTGAACTTCCTTGTGTCCAATATCGGTATATTGCGGCTGAACATTCGTATTAGGTTTACGACTACAATTATCGTGATAACACGATCCTCCTTTTTTGTTCAATCACTCATTCGTTGTTAGATTACGCCAAGACTCCAATGGAAATATATATGTTTGGGATAGTAGTATGACAGTAATAAATACTCTATAGCGAACTTTGGTCAGTGAAGAGTTGGAGCGACGATAAGGGCCTAAATTACCTGATCTATAACCTGTTATCTGCTGAATTGATATGTTCACTCAAAATAACAGCCAAGATACAACGCCATTCGGGTCTTCCAGACCGGCCATCCCGCTCTAGTTGGAAAGTCTCCTACTTTGCTTTGCTCTCAGCACGGATGACTTTGCAAAATACCGTACTTCAGTAAATCATTGAATTCTGAATAATGATGAGCTTACTGGAAGTATATATGGTCTGCAGTGTTTGATGGGCCTGGGGCTCTGCTTCAGAAACTTCTTATAGCCCTGTCGTGCGTGGGCCACATCATAAGGCATATTCACTCTTGCAACTTATGGGAACCAATGGGGTATGAGAGTAACCCTGCTGCAGCCCATGGACAGCGCATGATGATTAGGCAGGAGGGCTCGCTGACAATGCCGATGCAGCAGCAGCTTTCGATTGGATAGCCGAGCCCGATTACGGCTTTTGCCAACACTATATATAGTATGACTCGGAGACAAACTCTATTGCTCACCCGGAGACTTTCCTGGTTAAGTTATATACTACTATCTAAAATTCTTCCGGTGCCTTATTTGCACCCCGCATAGTCGCAAAATTAAGTGCTGTGATTGGCTGTTATGAGTGGACACGGCCGAGTATGCACAAAAGCGCTAATGTTTTGGGGACGATTATTTGATGATTTGTAATTTATGAAGTCATGTACTAATTAATGGATTGCCCCACACCGAGCCAATTCAGCATTTAAACATCAACTTCACCAGGGTCTTTGTGCGTTAGCCAGCACCATCCAACCCCTGAATACTTCCCAAGGGTCATCGATATGCGTACCAAGCTTTTCATCACCGGAGTGACCGGCTACATTGGCGGCGATGCCTTATATTACCTCTCGCAGCACCACCCAAACCTTGAATATGCCGCCTTGATTCGCTCAGAGGAGAAAGCGAACCGAGTTCGCGAGGCATATCCTAGTATCCGCACTGTTATTGGCAGTCTAGACGATTCGGAGATTCTTGTAAAAGAAGCCGCCTGGGCGGATATTGTTCTTCGTATGCACAGTGCCTCCTTTCTCTCCTACTTCCATTACCTTATGATGTTCATATTGTATGATAATAAGTGATACACTAACGAAATAGACACCGCCGACGCCTCCGACCACGTTGGCGCAGCCAATGCCATCGCCAAGGGAATGATCGAAGGCCATTCCCCCGAAAGACCGGGCTACTGGCTGCACACCGGCGGCACCGGAATCTTGACATACTTTGATTCCGAAGTGAAGAAAGTCCATGGTGAAAATGACGACAAAGAATTCAACGACGATGAGGGAGTAGGTGAACTTGTCAATCTTCCCGCGGATGCGTTCCACCGCAACGTCGACGAGATCGTTCTTAAGACCGGAACCGTGTATGCCGACAAAGTGAAGACGGTTATTGTTTGTCCACCTACGATCTATGGAAAAGGAAGAGGACCTGTATCCTCTCGCGGTAGACAGGCATATGAGCTTGCTAGCTTCATCTTGAAACAGGGGTACACCCCTCAAATCGGAAAGGGTCTGGCACGTTGGAATAATGTGCATGTTTATGACCTGAGCACATTGTTTGGGGCTCTCGTTGATGCAGCACTTAATCCTAGCAAGAAGGCTGACAAGGAGATCTGGGGTGAGAAGGGGTACTTTCTCTGTGAAAACGGTGAGCATGTCTGGGGTGATTTGGCGAAGTTGGTTGGGGAGCAGGCACATGCTTTGGGATTATTGAAGAGGAAGCCGGGAGTCAAAGAGCTGTCCCTTGAGGAGGCTGTCAAGTCGCCGGCGGGCTTTGAGGCTGCAAGTTGGGGTTGGAATTCTCGCGGCAAGGCGCTGAGAGGAAGGAGGGTTCTAGAATGAATGCCACAAGAGAAGAGCTTGGAGGAGGAAGTGCGGGATATTCTGAAGGCAGAAGCAGCGAGGTTGGGAATCTGAGTACCAGCATTGTATGTCAAGAACTTGTTGGACAGGGTGGGTACGATGGTTCATAGCGGCTATCAGGTAAATGCAATTTTTGCTGTTTACTACCAGCAGAATTAATATATAATGTCAGAACAAATAAAACCTGAGCAAAACCAGTAACCGATAGAGAGATTTTTCTTTTGGTCTACTTGGTAAATGTCTCAACATAAAATAATATAGATCATGTAGCTGATCTAATATATCTATGTATATAAAACTGTATATATATCATTAGATAACTTACTTCGCTTTATTATATAGATAGCTACTAGTTCTAAATATTATAAAAAGATGCAAGTCTTACCCAGGGTGTGATAGGATTTACTTGTCAGGGTAGAAAACCTGTCAACTAGGTAAGGAATCAGCCATGAAATACTATAGATTCGGAATAGAGTAGACAAGGTAGTCTATATCCACAGAATAGACTGATCGTTTAGAGATCAGTAATATATTATAAGAGACTCCTTGTTACAGACCCCTGCTAGTTAACCTACTACTGATATGGAGTATTTATTCCACGTAAGCGGAGAGGCCGTTGAATCTATGAACCTTACTTAAAGTAAAGTTAGCATTGCACTTATTACATTACATCATCTTTGCTGGCTCACTTAATTGCCGTGTTGAATATGCTGCACTCATTCGTGGCATGACACGGGGAATGGTAATACTACGATTTTAATAGTACGATGTCTGGCAGGTTCATGAGTCAGGCCAAGGTGTGAAATCATGTAATCGGGTATCTCCCTTATCCACAGCTTGGCAATTACACAGTAGGATTTTGAAATGAGGGTTGCATGATTGATCCTATACGTCGACCACCTGCCGCACCCAACAAATCGTCTCAGCCCACTCCAGGGGAATATCACCCTTGTCGCCCATGCGACTCAATATATTCAAGATCAACTGTTTGCCTGCGCCTGAAATGTACCATTTATGCGAATCCAAGTGCAAAGTCAATCCATAAAATAATAGGAGAATGTATGCGACCCAGTCTCCTTTTCGGCAAAGAGCCAGAAAGGCTTTGCTGACCCAGAGGGGCCAGACGATGGTAAATTGATGTGCGGGCCACAAATCCAAGATCGACAGATTGATATCGCATACGCGCTGGCACTCGTCTCGCGACGATGCTTCAATCTCACTCCGTTCGATCTCGTTTCGAAGATGATGCAATCTTGCTTGGAGCTCACTGTAAAGTTGGTTAGTTATCATTGGTCATGGTTTGAGTGACTTGAGGGCTGGGGGTGAGTGGCCACATTGAGGATGGAACGAGCGGCCGAGGCTGGCTGATTTACCTATGTAGGAGTGATGACTCGGTACTCTTATTCAATCTGATGATGAAAAGCAAGACTTGTGTCAGTTGACAATTCATGGTAGCATAGTACAGATGAGAAACCACGAGATTCGCACAATCATTTTAGAAACCCACCCACCTTTTTTGATGGACCGTCTCCGGAGTTGATAGACCACGATGCAACCAATATCCGAAACTGGAGTGATCTTGATCTTGGTGTATATGTGTGGCCATGATAGCGCAACCTTCCAGAGCCGAGCGGATACTCTGCACAGTGTCTAATGTGTATCCCTGCTTCTCCGCCCTTTCTTGTCCGATGACAGTGTTGCTGCAGACCGCCGGATAGGCAGTGGTTAGGACGAGGACGAGGGCCGAGCCAGCGAATTTGGCCTCCAAGCCATCATTCAGACCAGCAGCTAGATCCTCTCGTAAACCCGTTGTGGCCGCGATTTGATAAGTCAAGGAGACGCTAGCCCAGTGTGTTTGCTGCTCCGGATGAATATATGCCAGATGGAGCGCCGCAACAGCTAGCAGGCTGTCCATCACGAATGCATGCGTGATGGCAATCCGGGGTATGTCCATCTGCCAGAATCGGAGGTCCAGGTCGTCGTTCGCTATGGAAGGGGCTGTGACCATGAGCGCGTGGTGGAAAAGTTGCATTTCGTGCAGGACCAAATCCGTTCTGGCCCTGGGGCCTTGATTATTGTTATGGTTACCATTAAGATTGTGATTAGTAAGGTTATGGTAGCCATTTTCATTGTCATGACTTTCTTGATGGGCTGGGCTGCTGTCATGTCTGTTATTGCTGTCATCAGTACACGGCGACGGCAAGCCCAACCTGTCCCTCGACGGTGCGTCAGAGGTGGCTTTCCTCTGTGTGATCATCAGATACGTGCAATCCTGTCCCCGGACTAGGCAGGGGGTGCAAGACGGTCGCTTTTCATCGCACTGTTGAAAGTCTGGGTCAGAAGTAGATCGGCATTAAGCGAGCTTTGATGAAACGAGGAGTTTCATTCCTAGTGAACCAACAAATAGAGAAGAATGAACGAATTAGAAGCAAAGCGATTGAGTCGAACAATCGCATCAAGGGCTGGACGAACCTTGACATGACGGCGCTTACATAATGCACAGCCATACCGAGATTTTCGGTGGGAGCGGCGTGGGTTATTAAGGAGATGCATGAAGGACGTGGCGCAGACAGGGGCGGGGCAAAAGAAGCAAGAGTAAGGATCAAATACGCTTTACGCCGTGGACTTTCCCATTCGACACATGGACAGCACGGGGTCAGGCACGGAGGGTTCAAGGTAGGTAGGTGGGTTGGATATGGACGACTGCAGAAGTCCTCCGGCGTTTTTCTATCCGAGTACGCTGTGGGGCGACACAGGTCGGCGCTATGAGGTATCTTGAATTAAGGTTGTTACCGGTCGTACGCTGTGGGTTATTAAAAGGTGTTTATCAACCAGTCAAGGGGTCCCAAGTACGCTGTGGGCATAATTAAATAAGTTTGCGCCAATCAAAAAACTTTAAGTACGCTGTGGGTCGGCCCGAGAAGCTCCTCAAATATAGACTGAATCAAGCGATCTTACAGCCACAAGGCAAACGAAATCGGAGATGAGATGATTTCTTCTATTTCTAGATCCATTAACTGAAAGGGGCTTTCTCTACGGGATTACGTATAAGCCTAGCCATGGTAACGAACGAAGTTCATGCAAAGATGGGTATATAAGCAATGTCGGCCACTTCCCTAGGCCCCCATTCAGCAGTTTTGCTGTAACTCGTGCTCCCTGGCCCTTCGTCCGATAGTCTTGATCTATCCATCTGTTAACAGAATCCCACACGCCGACATCCTTCTTCCGCTTTTGAAATGTCTTCGGATTCCAGCAATTTATACGGTTATGTGCCGTCCGGGATAGTAGCTATCGTATTTGGAGCCATCTTCCTCGTCCTGACTGTGCTGCACCTGTGGAGAATTGTGAGAACAAGACACTGGTTTGGAATCGCTACTCTGGTCGGCGGAATCTGTATGTATACAAGCTATTTCACTCTGCCAATTCCCCCGACGATCGTCCCCGATACTAATATAATCGTGGTTTCCCTCGGGTAGTCGAAGTCATTGGCCTTGCAGCTCGAGCTTACTCCCACCATGATGCCCTCGCCAAGGGCCCATATATCATCCAGGTCCTTCTAATTCTTTTGGCCCCGATCATCTTCTCTGCCGCCATATATATGTTCCTCGGCCGTCTGATCCGAGCTACGGGCCATGCGGAGCTCTCCTTCATCCGTATCAACATCCTGACCAAAATCTTTGTCCTGGGCGATGTCATCTGCTTCTTCATCCAAGCCAGTGGTGCTGGCAAGCTTGTCAGCGCAGATACCAGCTCTGCGATCAATTCTGCGGAGACTACAGTCCTCGTGGGTCTCGGTCTGCAGGTTGTCTTTTTCTGTATCTTCGCTCTCTGCGCGATCGTCTTCCATGTCCGTATATCCAGGCCTGAAAACAAGATGAATGTCGACCCCGCCCTTCGCTTGGACTGGATGCTATATTCGCTGTATTTCTCCAGCGCCATGATCGTGATCCGAAATATCTACCGTCTGGTCGAGTACAAGACTGGGACGTCGGGCTATTTGCAGGTGCACGAATGGCCTGCATACGCGTTCGATGTAGCTCTCATGGCTTGTATGATGATGGCCAGTCTCTTCTGGTATTCTGCTAAAACAAAAGCGGCGCGGATTTCTGGGTCCTATCCTTTGGTTTTGCAAGACGTATGACATCACTTTGTGCATGGTCTTCTTTTTCACTTTCATTTTTTTTCCCTCTTCCTCTTCTTCCTCTTCTTCCTCTTCTTCCTCTTCTTCCTCTTCTTCCTCTTCTTCCTCTTCTTCCTCTTCTTCCTCTTCTTCCTCTTCTTCTCTTCCTTTCTTTTCCCTTCCTTCTCGTCTTATGGTGTTGGTCTTAATATCATGGCTTGCGCTCTGATTCTAGCTAGAATTTTTGGACTTCTGTACATACCCGTTTCCTGTTATCATTCGTCTCGTGTAATGAACAGCTCTGATAAAGGAGCCCAATCCCCAGCCTGATAGATGGTATAACTATATATTCATATCCCGCTTCAATATCTAGACATTGGCATGATAATTACAAGCAAGCTACCAGTCACGATGTATCTATGACTTAAAGGTTTAAAAACTAATTCAATTAGTGCTAGGTGAAGATGGTTGGTCTGGAGGCAGTAAGTAGATAAATACCAACTCTTACACGACATACGTACTTGATTTTCTCGCCAGCTCGACAGCTTTCCCTTTCTGTTATAGTGCTCACCACTCGCCGCTTTTTGCTCACTGAGTAGACCTGAGCATGCGGGCCTTTTTTTGGGACAAGCCTTTGATGTTTGTGGCGCAAGGTAAGTGTAATCAGAGTAGACGCGGTGAATCTTCATTTTAATAGTTTCGTTCATTTCCACAGAGTTTATAGATGGTACGAGAGAATGCCCGGTGTATTCGTGGCTCTAAGTTGGGAGCTGTGTTCTGAATTAAAGAGGTTACATTAACGGAAATCTGTGGCCCCTTGTGTCGTCACAACCCCAACTAGTTGGTGACTTGCCTGAATTAATGCGCTGACTTATTGTGCCTAACGGTAATATTCAGATATCTACTATCGTTATGTAGGTTTTCTAGACCATATATGTACCGCTTCACCAGGGCGAACTTTGAGCCTCGGCGAGGCCAATAAAGGCATTTATGCCTGGGTTCGCTTCCTAGTCATTCCCTTATCTGGCAGCTGCAGAATTTTACGCTGTGTTGCACAGCTCCGTCAGCGCTCCGTTGATAAGAACTATTACGCTTTTTCTTCTTCCCTGATTGGTAGCCAAAAACCAGCCCTCCAGTATGCAGTGTACTTGGGATGGCTCGATGGCGTTCGATTTCTCCACAAGATAGTGCAGATATCGACGCCCTGCCACCACACCCCGGAGATACCGCATATACCGCCTTGGGTCATGCGATTGAAGAGGGAGGCCACCGAATGATTCAGTTATTACTAAAGTTTGTCGCTAATCCCAACAGCGCTGATATCCATGACGATGTGTCATCATCTGCCTTCACGTTCGCCCTTGAAAATACATGCTCACTTGGTATCATCGATCTGCAATTGAAGTATGGCCCCGGCTTCAACAATCTCATAGGAAAGGAATCGGCGCTCGAGACGGCGGTAGAAGTCGGCCAAGCGGACGTTGTCAGGAGAATAATGACCTTGATGTCACAGTATTGCCCTGAACACTACTCCCGATCACTCAAAACAATAATGTCTCATATGATGATAGACAATGACTGGGCACCCGACTTCGAGATGGTCCGAACATTAATTGATGCTGGGGCGGACATAAATGCTGCTTACATTGACGACGACAATCCGCTATACCATGGAACACTACTTCAACGTTCGGTCAGGCAGTTTGTCAGTGGATCCAGAATAAGCGTTGTCCAGTTATTGCTCGACAATGGAGCTGAGATAAATACCCCAGCAACGGACAACCTAGGAACGCCATTGCAACTAGCCATTCTGGACGAAGAAGTGGAGATCGCAAATCTACTAATCGACCACGGAGCTGACGTGAATGTCCACCCAGCAAAGAATCGCGGAGCCACGGCATTGCAAGCTGCCGCTTTACACGGATACTGTGGTCTTTCCATGCGATCGTTAGCCAAGGGGGCGGATGTGGCGGCCCCAGCAGCGCCTATTGATGGCAGATTGGCCATTGATGGAGCAGCGGAACACGGATATCTCGATATGGTCCAGTTACTTCTCAATGCGTATGGAGATCGACCGAGCTTGTCATTTGTGTATCGTAGAGCTGCCGCTGCCGCAGAACGAGAGGGTCATTTCGATGTAATGAGATGGTTGCTGGGTTATATACAATCATAGGCATTTAATTGTTGACGCTTTATCCAATTATAATATACATTTACCACAACAACCTCTCATCTACCCACGCATATCATATACATCTTTACGGACCAACCCCCCTTTCCACAACTCTATAGCCCACACAAACCTCACTGATCACCCTCTGCGAAACGAACACCTCTGTTTCAACCGTTAGAACTAAGCCTCAATCCCAGTCCCAGTTCCACTAGCATATACTCCCAAGGAAGAAGGGAAGAAAGGCCCACTCACCTCTTGGAACATCATACCTAGAATCCCTTCTAGCCACCCATCCATTCGTTTCCCCATGCCCCGTGTCACGCCCATCATTCTCCCGTTTGAATTTCCTCCGCCATCTGCACCGAAAAATAAGCAGCGATGGAGGCCCCCTTACAAGCAGAGTCACCAGCGCGATGATGGTTGCTTTGGACCAGGCCATCTTGGTATTGGTATTTGGTTGGTGAGATGTAGCGAAGTTCACGGTTCTCGAGTATGGTATTGCGTGATATAGCTTGACTGATTGGCAGATTGGTTAACGGCTTGATTAGGGGAGGTAGGCAAAGTCTTAAGTTCAGGGTAGAAGAGATGATAAGAACTGTAAGGAGATGAGATGCTGGTGGCTTGATAGATGAATGAATGGATTATATCCACTACAGAGTATCAGAGTCAGTGTAAATACTACTACTTAGTAGGCTGTGAGGTGAATTGTGATGATTATTGGTTGATGGCAGGTGGGGGGATGGGGCGGAACTTTTGGTTTCGATCAATGAAACCGGGTGGGTGGAATAGGAACTAGACTGGATTCGGGGTAGTGCTGGATGTATGTTTAAAGAGAGTGTAAATGATCATTTTGCTGCGGCGACGAATACGTCCTTTTTGGTCTACATTGTGGTTATACTGCCTTTTGATAGGCTGTTCTGCTGGTATCTGTGTATCTTTGAGCTACTCCAGTGACTACTAGAGGGCAGAAAATAACCAAAGCCAGCCCCTTTAACCACCATCTCTTACACAGCGCCAGCACCACCAAAGGCAAGGTCCAGTGAGTCGTTGGCCAAAGATGTCATTTGACAAGGGAGGGACTTGATATTTGATGCACAATGTCCGATCTGGTGGGTTGCGTGGCAGACGCGAGATCAGGCTTCTATTGCACTTGAGTCGAACGCCGATTGAAGAAGCTAGTCTAGCACCTGAATTAGGCTATCAGTGTGAGTAATGTGGCTGATTGCTAACCAGTGATTTGATTGGCAAATCTTCCCTGAGCATAATAATCACAGTTGCCATATTGCTCTACCATAGTCAACAGCCCCGGGGGTGTGAGGAGGAAAACCAAAAACAAACCAGGGTTGGAGGAGTGGGTCCCTTCACCAGATAACTTCCTATTCGGGTGAGCGGGAACGACAGCCACGGATCACTAACTTGTTTGGTTTTATCCGGAGAGTCATACTATAAACGCAGCCCTAGGCTCATTTTCCAGCAAAAATGCACCAACGGTGAAACGAGACCCCCTCCAACATCTGCAAATATAATATTACAAAGATGATCCGCATTGACTTCAACTCATCTTCACCCATGATTCCCATTCCACCCCCAACGACCCTCCAAGAAATCCGCACCTCCAAACTCCGCTCCTTTGGCCCCGTCCTCTCCGGCATCGACAAGCAAACCCGCCCTGGCCAGCTCTACGTCTCCACCACCGGCCTAGAAGATGACGAACACGATCTGACCTTCCACGGAGGCATCGACAAAGCCATTCACCAGTACTGCGCAGACCATTACTCCTTCTGGGCCGATCGCTTTCCCGAGGCTCGCACACGCTTCGTACCGGGCGGCTTTGGCGAGAATCTCGTCGCGGTTGGCTGGAACGAGCAGACCGTATGCATCGGCGATAGGGTGCGCATCGGGCCACCGAGCTCCTTGAGCACTGGCGGTCGGAACGGTTGTGTGCTGGAGGTCAGTCTGCCGCGCCAGCCATGCTTTAAGCTAAACCAGCGCTTCGGGATCAAGAACTTCGCTCCACTCACTCACCAGGAGGCTAAGACGGGATGGTATTATCGTGTCATAGAGGAAGGATGGATACAAGAAGGGTTGGAGATTAGCGTTATTCGTCGAAGTCATCCGCGATGGTCCATCGCCCGTTTGCACCATTACGTCCACCGCGATAAGACAGACTTGGCCATGACTCAGCATCTTATGGCAATGGAGGTCCTTGGTGATGAGTGCAGGGATGTGTTTATTGAGCGCTGGAGAGCACATCAGGAGAAGGAGGCCGCGGCTAAGCGTCCGCCTGAGACTTGGAGACAGTTCAGAGTTGCTAGTCATACAGCGGAGACTCCTCGCATAGTGCGCCTAGAGCTGGAGGCAGTTCACAGAACTGCTTCCTCACCTGGCGCTATCTTACCTGGCAGTCATGCCCGGCTCAAGCTTCCTAGCGGGTTACGACGCGCCTATTCCGTCGTTCACGGCGACGCGGATCGGTTTACACTGGGGGTGGCCCTAGACGAACGCAGCCGCGGCGGGTCGAGCTATATCCACGAAACACTCAAACGGGGGGACACGGTCTTAGTGGGGTCCGGGATAGGGCAGGGCTTAGCCATCGACAAGATGGCGTCTCATCACATCTTTATCGCAGGCGGGATAGGAATCACCGCCCTCCTCGCTATGATGAAACGCCTCAAGGACACAAACCAGGACTATTCCCTACATTATGCGGTGCGGAGCGCCACTGACGTTGCCTTTCAATCTCTGCTGGAGGACCTGCAGCCGCATGTCACCATCTACGATAAGTCGCAGGGCCAACGAATGAAAATTGCTGAGATCCTCGGGAATCGCATCTGGAACAGCCATGTTTACGTGTGTGGGCCGCAGCGCATGATCGACGCCGTGGTACAGACGGCCACCGCAGTGGATATGTCTCCTGATGAGGTACATTATGAGGCATTCGATGGTGATGATGCCGCCGGCGACCCCTTCACTGTGGATGTCGTTGGCCCAAGTCGGAAGTCAGAGGGACTTCAGGTGGGGGCTGAGCAGTCGCTTCTTGAGGTTGTGCGAGATGCGGGCTTCGAGATTGGGAGTTCTTGCGAGGTGGGAAATTGTGGAGCTTGCAGGGTTTCTGTTCGCTGTGGGCGGGTGTTGCATCGGGGGACTGCTTTGATGGAATCGGAGCAGAAATCAGAGATGCTGGCTTGCGTTTCTCGGGGTGTTGGGCATATTGTTGTTGAGGTTGCTGAAAGATGAGTGGTGGTTGGAGCTGGGTTTGATGAATGAGTTCTCACAAATATCTATGAGGAGACGGTAAGTTGTCTATGAACTGCATGTTATTGCATAACTCAACGATTTGAATCATGGTTCACATAATCTTCTGATCACTAAAGTTTAGTTCATGAACTAGATAGTCCAACACCTCTTACACAATGGACACTCATCAGACAGGCAAAGCCGACACCCTCCCACAGATACAAAGTTGTCTGGATTGATCCAGAACGCATAATAGAACTGACCTCAAGAAATTAGACGCATATCCAGCACCTTGTCGGAGCTGGGACATAAAATACTTAGCGTGGTGTCGGTTGATGATTCATAAGCGGAATTTGATTGGACTGGAGTTATAATCTCTTGAGGAGCACTCTATACAAGCAATAAAAGCAGCAATGAACAAAAGAAACGCGAAGTAAAAGAGTAAATTAAGTTAAGTTATCGAGAAGAATAAGATTAAATAATATAAAGAAATATTTTATATACATTATCTGAGCACAGTATATAATTAATTTAAATAAATATTTTAGTAGTATAAATTCTCCAGCTATGGAGATGTTATTAAATATATTAAGTGAAAGCATCTTCGCCGTATCTCCACGCAGTCCGAAATAGAATATAATGTCTGTGACAAGCTTTTCTCGTGCAAAATGCACCTCCAACGGCACGCATTTGACATGCATTCGACCGTGACATAAATTCGGCCTCTACCTAGATTTTTGTGAATCAGTGGTCATGAAATTATTAGGACACTTGGATGTTCTTCGCAAAGGGTGCACAGCAGCCAGCTTGAATGGGGATTCGTGACCAAGGGATTCTCTGATTCTAACAGTGGAACCGTATCTGGACTTAGCGTTTCATTTCTTCCGTAGGTATATAGGTTTCCTCAAAACACGTGCAGGAATTTCGCTTCGGGGGTCGATTCTTCTATCGTCATCAAGTAGCTAGTCAGGCTCTAACCCTCTTATCAGGAATTAGCCTCAAGGTCTTTCCTGCTTGGTACATTTGTACCAGCTGACAGCCACTCAGCTAGACTGCATAATTTTTGGCTGCGGGAGCGTCTACGGAATGTGGGTCCCGTACCGCAGCGCACCGCAGCCATTCATTACGGTATCATGGCGAATAACAAGAGAGAAACGCAATAATCAACAATCTCCTTGCTTACAGCACGCATGGTATTCCAATATCCGTAACAAAACCAGGCCACATACCCCCAGCTGAGATCATGCGTCGTTGACAAAGGGGTAGATGAGGGCATCCAGGTGTAAGCGGTGTCACTGGGGTCGGTCATCGCACTGGTCATCTCGGGCTGCGGCACCATCCCCGACGCAGTCCCATATCCCGGCACGCCGAATCCATCGCCATAGCCAGGACAGGCAGAGCGGAGCTATATACCGCAAGGTTGTCACGGTGCTCGCTTGCCTCGAAGATGCGCGACACGGCGTCCAGTGAGGTCTTGGCAGTATGACCGAGGGAGTGCATGCGCGTCAGAGTGACCATGGTGGTCTCGACCTGGGCCTGGCACGAGCGATGGAGGCGCGCGGATCGTTAGCGGTCGGGTCGTTGATGAAGAGACCCAGCAGGGGGATCGTCGAGGCCTGGAAGGTCCACCAGACGGCGTTCCAGCCGCCAAGCTGGTTCGACTGCGCCGGCATGAGCTCAACACGCAGACGCAACGAGCAGGGAAGTCAGTAACCCCTCACTCACCGATATTAAGTGACAACAGCCGAAAGGGCTAATTAGCGCCACTGGCATGGCCCATCGAATCCGTCTAGCAGGGTATAGTTTCATTAATGGCGAGGGCGAGACTGTGCTTTGGAAGCGTTCACTCGGGTAAACAAGGTTACGCTGGTTAAGATGATATGGACGATTAAATAGAGAGCAAACACAAGAAAGGAAATTCCTCGGTACTAGAAGGTCTATTAGTACGTGGCCATTCACCGGTCAATAAGCAGATACTCAGCACCTATTCTACTAGGTGTGATATTGCTACTGGTACTTTATAGCCGGTTCAGAGGAGATTCTTGGTGTTTTCTCATCGTCAGTATCCTGCCGACCATGGAGCACCTGATAGGGTACTGATTGCTCTCCAGTGGCAGAATGGTTCAAGTCCGTATAACGGTCGTTGATCTTGTTCAGCCGCGTATTTGCATGTCCCCCCTTCACTTTCAAAGCCCCTTCATCATCCACTCGTCGAATAGGAGTTCCAAGGCCGTGGGCCGGTCCTCAGGGTTCCACTGCAAGGCCATCCGGAGCCACCGTAAAAACCCTTCTTTGTCTTCCCCTTCCACCTCCTCCGCCAGGCTCTCGAGGGTAATATCTGGAATGGGGGCAACATCCTTCCAGTTCCCTGACTCATCCCAGAAGGCCGAGCTGAGGTGTCTCTGTTCCCGGAATTCAGGGGGCGGGGGGCCTAGCAGGGCAATCAGCTCTGCCATATGAACCCGATCATCAAATATGCCATCTGGGTTTTTGCCATTGACCAGGGTGCGAGAGCTAACAATATCCCAGGCCTAAATATACCCTGATATTAGCATTTTCGAGACAAAACAAAATTCAGAATAATTCTACTCACGACCATGGCGATATTCCATATATCCACCTTGTAGTCCCAGCTCGACCTTAGAATCACTTCCGGAGCTCTATAAACATTCGGCATGATATCGCCATTGTGCTTTTTATCGCCTAATCGAGCTTCCCCAAAATCAGCGAGAATTGGCAGTCCTCCTGGAGAAAGGAAACCTAAAGACTTGTAGATTGTTCGATCTTTGAGCTTCTTTCGGGGTGTTGGGTTTGCAACTTCACGCTCTTCGAATCGGGAAAGATGGCTTGTCTCCGGGCCGGGAAGTAGTAAGTTCTTCAGCTGAAGATCTGTGCCAACGTTAGGTCTGTAACCTAAGGTCTCCAAGGGGGGTGGTAAGTATATGACCTGTATGGATGATATGGCACTCCGAATGCAGAAAGTCCAGGGCGACAAGTAGCTGTCGGATAGCAGGCTTCATGAAATCAAGGGTTCTTTCGTTCCGAGGAGCCATCGTCACCAGGAAGTCTGCAGTCATTCCGAGAGGCTCGTGAACAAGACAGGCGTGACAGCCATGAGGCCCCTGAAGATAAAAGTGGTCGAGGAGTCTGCGAATAAAGTTTCTTCCAGGATGTTGTGCTTCCACTGAATTGATATGCTTGTAGATGTCTAGTTCTCGCTCGAGGTCCCGGTTTTGGCCCGTGACGTAAACCTTTAGAACCACATATGTCGATGCACTGGTTCAAAGTATACCATTAGAATCTCCATCATCATTAGGGTCATGTAAATCAACTGCACATACACCAAATCTTTCGCTAGCCAAACTGTGGAGGTGACCCCGTATCCTAGTTTGGCAAGGGTTTGATACCGACCATTGAGTACTTCACCCTGGGTGACTGGGTAGTATTTCTCGGGTTGGTAAGTCGGCAGTGTCTCCTCGTCAAGCTCAGCGGACTGGTCCAGCAACTTGACTCCCGAGGTGGGAAACACTCTCGGGGCGCATGTCCACTGCGCTGACGACATTACTGTTCGACGCGGCACCGCCGTGGTTCTCGGAGCAGACAATAGGGAAGTTCGGCGACAGCAAGAAGTGGAGGGTAGAGAAGCAGCAAAACACCTGCGAGCTCCGGTAAGATACACACTTGTCCAAGCGGTTCGCCCGGCTCGCTTCATGATGAAGTTAGGCACAAGAGATAACGCCCAAGAGGGATCGGAAGGAGAAGAGAGTCCGTTTATTATGCGGTCTGGCGCGGAGCTAGGTGATTACCTAAGCTAATATAGTTACCCGCCGCTCCTCCCCACTCGGTGGCTGGAACTGTCCGCGATCTCACACGGCTGCACATACGGCGCCAGGAGGGCAAATGAAATGCGGCCCTGCTCCAACTGCTGTTTGGTATGCGTGCTAGCGTATCAGGAGCCGCTGCAATACCATCGCTAAGAATAGTACTGTCAGCTCAGGGAGCCCTGGAGGGGTCGTAGCCTAGTCGGCGGCTAGATCGAATGGACACGAATTGCTCTCAGCGTTGAACCCCCCCCTCCACCACCAAAAGCATGCAGCGCCTCGCCCGGTGTTCCAAGTTGGTCGTCACGCATGAGGGGGAATGGATGGATGCCTGGAATTGATTGTGTCGTTTAGCACCGCTGTAGCATATAAACAGGGCGGACTCCCGCCCTGTTGCCTTTGATCAACGGCCCCCAGTTCCTCCATCGTTACCGGATTATATCATCCACAGTTCCATTTTAGATACCGTCGATTTCTACCTCCTCGAGCATACTCAGTTTCCAAAATGAGCCACACCTTCGCCAGAAATCTCCAGACCACCGCTAGGACCTTGATCCGTTTCGTCGGCTCTCCCCTCGAGGACGTGGTCAGCAGGAATGGCCCCAATGGCGAGCGATGGCGCAGCGTGCTAGAAATTATCGGCAATGCAATAGAGAGAGCTGTGGGTTGGCCCATCGGTTTTAGAGTGGCATATTGTTGTACTAATTCCTTCAGGAACCACGTATCACTGCAGCAGACATCCAGTACGTTGAGACTTGAAAACACCCCATCTTCAATCTGAATACTTCTTAACCTCCTGTTTAGGGGCGCCATGGCACATTTGTCCTCGAAGGACAGGGACGACCCGAACGACGTTATAACGATGGGGGTACAGACCCAGTCTGGCACTCGTGTGGGAACGGTCCATGTACATGTCGATGGCACCTGGAAGTTCTTTGCCTCTCGAATCGGACGAGATGGGGGATATGCTGCCAATATCCAGAAGGCCAATATTCCAGGATTTATTACACCCGAATGAGGATTCTTGGTCTGGGCAAGACCCTCTTCAATTGAGATTTTTTGTTTAGAAAGGTGAAGAACCTTGTGCAATGTGGACTTGCTCTCCGTGTTCTGTATTTATTTCTGTCTCTTTGTTTAGCCTGGACACCAGCAGGTCTATGTAGCAATTGATCCCGGTCACAATAATAACTAGCTCATATCAATTCCAACTCAATCTTCATCCCAAAGACTAGCCGATTATGAGATTACATGGGGCTATGCACTTGATAATATCACGGCTTCCGGCCCTGGTCACTGCCAATCCAGCTAAATACCCTTAGATAAAGACCAGCAAGAACAGCGAAAATTGGTATCTCCACCTGTTAACCCTGAGGTGTGCGGTAAAGACACTAGGATACAAGCTCTGTTTTAAGCTGCAACTGTTATAACCTATCCCGTCCTGCTCTGTTAAGGGCCGTATTCCACTATACTTGGATTGCACAAGGGCTTCTTCCCATAGATATGTAATATCGCTAGCTATAGGCGAAAATCTTAGTAAGATTTCGCTGCGCTTTCTCCGAAAGTCCGCTCTCGGGGGCAGATGTTTGGAGGCACAAGAGTAGGTTGCCCTTAGCCAGGCCGTCAAGGGCTGCAGTTCAAGTGCCGCAGTCGCTCTGTCTACGGGGAAAAGGCTGGTCCTATTGGCCTGTTGTCAACGTTAATCAACTTAATCTGGGTTAGCCCCACTTGAGGATCTACCCAGTATCCGCAGGAGCCTCGTCGGCCCGCAGCGGTCCAAACCAAGGCAAATCAGCGCGCACTGCCGGATGTGCCTCAGTGGTGGTCCACTTTTCCTGGCGATGGTTATAGGAGGCCGATGAAACCTCATTACTCGAGGAAATGGAAAGGGGTTTTACTTACCATCCTGACCAACCCGGTTTAGGATTATTTGCATCTCGATAGAGACGAGCGCCGGTGAGGTACACGTCGAACCCTAACTGCCTCAATACATGGTATAAGAGAATATTATTCTCCATGCAGTACCCCCCTCGCTTTCTTGTCACGAGTTTGTGGAAGATGTCGTGGATATGAAGCGATATGGAAGGTGTTGGGCTGTAGTGAAGGGCAGTGTTGTCATACGGGATGTGGGAGACATGATAAGCTTGGATAGTTGCTAAGAACTCTCGGTCGAACTTGGGGTTCTGTTCGCGCCGAAATCGCGAGGGTAATTCAATGCGCTCGAAATATCCATCGAGGTGATCGCTTGTGAAACTCGTACTAAGTTCAGACATCGGTGAAATGTGTAAGAATTCGGTGCCCGTTCGTTTTCCCTATACTGTGGCAAGAATTGTGAGTGTGGTGCGGCAAAACTATCACATATAAATACGTTGAAGTTGGCTGAATAGCATGCGGATGATGATAGATTGAGTAGGTCCAGCCGAGTGGAATGCTTATCGACCTGACCCCGCCTAAGGATGTTAGCTGTCAGCAAATCAGTCCGTGCTTTTGGTTCTCAGCCGGCCACTAAGGCTTCGCAACTCTTATCCTACTTGAACTGATCTTGATACTAAATCCCGTGAGTCAGTTTGGCAGAAATAACTTACCCAATTCATAATAAAGGTCCATGGCCCATGAGCGTTACGTGTACATTCATGAGGGCCTTGATCTTGCTCCGCCACGCGTATTGTCGCTCAGGAGTTTTAGAAGGGTCTCGAAGAACAATTACACGCTATACAAGACCACCGTTTCTAAGTGGTTCAGGTTAAGTTTCAAACAGCGACAAGGTACCTTGACCGAGTATCTCTACCCCTATAATTGGAGCCCCATACATCCCACATTATACTCGCATAACACCGTAAATAAACACAAAAGCAGGGATTACAATCAGAAGTGTGCCCTCAAAGACTGGGTCGAAGGGCAGATATGGTGATGGCCAAGGTTTCGGATTAGTTGCAAACTGAATTATTCAAACATGTGTACTACATATATTTGGCTGTCCTCAGAATGCGGAGTAGAATTTATCTTGAAATTAGCATCACTAGTATGATTCTTTCTCACAGCCTGCAAATGATGGGAGACTACTTAGTAAACTTGGGCCCCACCTACCCAATCTAGTGCACGAGAGCGATGCTCAAACTACTCTCGGCCCACTTGCCTGATCTTGTGCAGACATGACATGGCTGGAATGACCATTTATTTGCAATTAAAGACTTTCCAATGGGAGGCTATGTTTCCCACCGGTTATTGATGCCTCATTCTAACACTTTATGGTGTGTACTGTCCTATAATAACCTTGCTTTAGCTAATAATGGACCGTCTTTATGCGATCATTCAGGCATATTTCCGTCCATATAGCCAGATATGAACGTGCATCCACCTTTTGGCATAGCTGTTCTCATATCTAACTTATCCTGCGGAAATTTATAGGCTCGAAGGTCTACAGTTGCACCCCTCTGAACAACCTTCCTAGTTTGCTCCCCAAACGCAGCAATTTACGAGAAAAAGGGCTCAGCCACGAGTTCAAGCGGGCAAGACATGTAGGCCGTGTAACCAGAAGCTCATCCAAATGCCCTATACAAGTGGCATTCAAAGTGATAATGCTGACTGCATTCTCCGCGAAACCAGGCAGGGCACGTATCCTATCATGCAACCACCGCCGCTGTGCGAAACCATCAACTCGAAAATACACCACCCATCGCCTTAACAAACCCCAATCGAGATCATTATCTTCCCCCGATGGCGGCGAGGTCGCCGATTTGCCATTTAACAGGTCCCTGTAGGTTCCGATGACCCGGCTACATCGTATTGAGATATTACATCATGTCCTAACACTTCCTGAATAGCAACAAAGACGTCAGGCAAGATCATCGACAAGTGATCGATTATTCACCTGGGTTGATCATTCCTGTTGGCTATATGGTGCTTAGCGATATTGATTGGGGGAGGCCGGATAAAAATGCATCATCCGGGACCAGGGAGAAGGCTTCGGTTCCCTGCATTCATCATAGCTGCTGCATGAGGGCTTGAAATTCCCGCGTATGAAGGAGGCATTTAAGCCCACCTGGGCACCTTCCTGCTTGTCTTCCTAGAACGCGTATATCCTGCCCACCCCTCTCATGAATTGTCAAGAGATCTCTCCAGCCGATACGACGTGATTTTGATAGCGCTGAAGTCTGGGGAGCCGAGGCCGAAAGAATGTTCACTTCAGTAGTTCTAATGTGCGAGGTGGTTGAGTCGTGGTTTCGGCACTTGACCATGAATATGTTGGAAGATGGGAAAGGGGAGGCCATACTTCTTTGGTTCGTTGTAGTGCTTGGGCTGGTGGTATACTGCATGACTACCTATAGTCAATCCGAAACGGCTCCAAGAGTATGGAATATTATACAGCGACGAGGAGAAGTTCACTCCGAAATAACAAGAGGGAACTCATCTCATTGAATAGAGTAAACTAAATAATATTAAAGCTGATAAAAGCATCTTATACTAGGTTACAGTTGCCTCTGCATTCGCATATAAGTGCAGGGAAAAAACCCTCTTGTTGAGGAGGAAAAACCTGTACTGAGGCTTGCAAATATTGAAGAAATCAACGTTACACTTTGACAGACAGGTCCCGAATTGAAGGCCTCCTGCCAGCCTGCTTTTCCGGGCTAGTCAAAATATTTCTTCAGCTTCTGTGGGAAACTTGTTAGCGTTTCAAAGATTCCTCCAGGAGAAAGAGCCTACTAGTAAAGTCTAACAAAAGTACATACTTTGATTATCAATATGACTGTGTCCAAATTGCATTGCCATCAACGGATATGTATTGGTCGATAGGCATGTCTAGGTCGCCTTGGATTTTGGGAGCGTTTTCAAAATCGGTTTCGAAGTCTTGTCTACCAATGTGACCATAGAGGCTTCGAGTACCGGAGAGTTGATCTTTATTATCGTAATTTAATGATGCTGAAGACGTGCCGAAATTTGGAACAGCTGCATTGAGAGTCATAACGCAGGAGGTGTCCACACCATCGACATAAAATTTCGCATTTGCTCGATTTGGAGCCACCCATTGCAAAGTTCCGTAAGACGTCGGCATGGTGACTGGCACTCAGGGATGGGTATAGGTTGAGTGAAGTTCTGACTTGATTCGGGATGTGGTAGATTTGATAAATGGAAGGAAGTTCGATAACAGATGTCTCAATTTCTACTACCATAGTATATCGTGACGCTCTTATACGTAGAAGGGTACTGCTGGTACCATAATAAATGTTCCGTTGTCCCAAGACAAAGGTTCAATTCTATGCGCCAAACCTAATAGCAGGCAAATGACCGGGCTTGAGTGCGGTACCAGGGTTCCCACTACATTGCATTACGATACTGCTAATTGCTTCTTAGAATCTCATTGGCATAATGATGACTGCAAGAATTTCTTTGTCGTCTATGATGCGGCATTTTCTTCCAATTTTATTAGACTTTGACTGCAAACGGCTGACTGCATGCAGCTGGGAAAAGCCCTGAGCGCAAGCTTAGACCGCCCTCGAGCAAATAGACGCGATCACAAGACACTTTGTTGAGGCTAACATATCAAGTCTGGTGTTTGTCGATGACTCATGAGCTCATTCTGTTCGACCGGGGTTAGAGTCTCTTTGCCGTTTCCAAATAAGCTTCAGTTAAGTGGGCTTTCATGACGCGTGGGCGCCGAGGGCGTCACAAGAAATATTGAGAAAGCTCATGATATAGTATCGAAGACGTTATTGACCGGAAGTCAAGCCACGTGAAATGCAAGGCAAGAAATAACACGAGTTCATACCATTTCGATGGATCAGTCCAGACTCAGCAGGAAAGGCCTTTACAACTCCAGGATCATATAGGTCTTGGCAAGAAAGTCTATGGAAATAACAGCCGCTCGGCGGCGGACCTCTTATTAACACAAAGCTTGTTTTGTATATTGAGTTTACAAAATTACAAAAAGAGTCTTCTAAACCTTATTCATTGACAATCCACTTAATTGATAGGTTTCCTGGATGAGTTCAATCACCATAAGATAGATTTTTTAGAGCCAGTTTATTATTTCTTACTACAAGGAAATAGGACTGTACATTTGCCACGTAGGCCATGCCGATGTGGTTTCGCTGACGGGCTGCTTGAGACAGACGGTGCGACACATGATTCAACATAATCACATTCTACAATTTGTAGCTGCTATGGTTACTGTAAAGATTCGTCCTTCGGATTGCCCACTGAGCCATCCACTTCATGTCGCATCATATGTGGGGTCAGTATCCATGGTATGCTTCTGCTCAAGCGCGGAGCCCCATGGGGTAATTCTAGATCGGAGATGATTGCAGCCGTGGTTGTCTCGATTTCCTTTCGGCCCATGGAACCAACCCATGCATATTGTAAGAATGACTTTTGACAGCACAGTGTTATGTTCGTAGGATACGATGTTCCAGAATCATTAGGATATTACTCGATCATGAAGCCGCCTGTGTGGATTTCAAGAGTCCCTTGGGACCCTTGGGAGACCTTTCTATGACGATTAAGGAATTCTCATCAATCACTGAGGATATTGTTCTACGTTTTACGCAGTAAGAAGATATTTGAGTTTAGTAAATGGTCTTTATGGAATGGCTGGTGAAACGAGAGTGGCGTTAGGTCAGATGAAACAGTGATGTAGTGAACCATGTAGCTGCTGATTCTATGGAAGTGGAAGTAGGGGGGAAAATTTAGGAAAGTTTGCCTTGCTGGCTTGTGATGACGATGCTAGACATGCAGATTGTTCACCATTCGAAGCAAAGAATATGGCCCAGAATGCCTTGAAAACCTATACCTCACCGTAACCATATGTAAATCACGAAGCAGTGCACGGTACGACGTAGAAAGACCGTAGTCGTAGCTTGGCACAAATGAATATACAGAAAAAGCGAAGCAAAAGCGCAGTCATACAGAATTAAGTATGAACGAATGGTTCAGCTGTCCAACTAGCTGCATGCGTGTCGCCATTCTCCTCGTTCGTCGTTTATATCTTGCTTTAAACATGCATGTTCCTTATGCATCTGTACCCCCCGCCGCTAACTCGAGCGGGGCGTATGCGGTTCCTTCTACCTAGAGTCTTCAGCGTCTATCCCTATGACCCTGGAGCCTACGTGTTCCCCAAGCCAAGAGAAGACGGAGATTCATGGCTAATAAGCGTTACAGATGCTTTTATGAGGACCTTGTATGGGCTGCACCACGCAGATTGCCGGTAAGGGGTATTGAAAGGGTCTTGAGGAGTAACCCTATGCTAGATGACCACCATGCTTAAGTCGACATCACTGAAATGGCTATTCCTCTTGGATTTATAGACTTCCATATAGGAAAAGGGTGCTTCCAATCGGTTGTTCTGGACCGCAGCATGTGGCTCTGAACTCACTGCCGTGGTCACAATACCTTGTACCGACACAACTAAGTTGATCCCCCGACGGACCTGGTCTTTAACAAATATTTCTTTGCCTCCCAAACGGAACTTTGTTAGAGAATACCGGATATCCTCCAGCTTTCGGCGAACGATCGTGTGTAGAAGCGGGCTAATGCCGTGCTCATCGTTGTCGGGACCCTCTCCTTCCTTCTCTTCATGCAAGAGAGCACTCTCGTAGGCTTTAACTAGACCGGCGTTATTTGGGTCGCGGATAAGCAGTTCATATGCCTCCTGCCAGAGACCTTTGAGTGCTGTCGATCCCATACTGGGTCTATCGTTTAGTGTGGCATCGATTGGAGGTGCTGGAATGGCCAGTTGTGCTGGTGACCATAAGTCTATCTCGGGCGAAGGATTAAATGGGACCTTCTGACCGGAGTTTGTCCGCCCAATTTCTTGGGGTTGATCTGTTTGTGGCCGATCTGTGGTTTGGGTTTTCTGTTTCCCGCTAGAGAACACCCCTCGGAGCAGATTCCAGCAGCTACCAGACGAGGGCGCGACATCTTTGGGACGTGAACTTTCCATTGTAGACATGAAACGATTGGAGAATGCGGAGCTGAGCTTGAGGTGCATTCAGCTGCTATTGTGGATGAAAATCATTGGCCCGGCGCGTTCATGCAAACTGCAACTTAGCGCCCATCACAATATAGCACTACACAGACTTATAGTACAGCTGTGATGTGGCAGTGGAGACGTGAGATGCATCGGTAATGCACCAATCCAAGTCACCCTCTCAGCACTGGCGCGAATGCTACTTTCCTTGTTGTGATCCTGGCCTTCCTCCGCATGCGCCCAAATTTGGGCAACAATAGGCAGATAAGATAAGGATTCGTAGCAGGTCCTTGAGCGATCCTTCAACATAACAATATTCAGTGAGTTTATTCTGTCATAATGGAAATGCTATTCCATGCTGTTGGCTAATTTCATGTTAAACTCACCCTGTCTGCTCATTGACGGGTCAGATGCGGGGCAATCCTCTGCCAGTCATCATCCATAATTGAGGACTTGGCTTGCACACGTTCTGCGGCCGAGGGCCTATCCGTAGTATCAGGATTCACGGCTCTCGTACTAAATTCCTCGTCTTACCCTGGGACTTCTTTGTACGGGACCCATGAATGGAGATTTTCCTCGACGTTTATGCGACATCTCGGTGGATCAGTGGAGCAGGCCAAACACCGTCCACCTGCATTGGAACTCTGGGACTTATATACTGACTTTGGGTGTTTTCAATGCATGTACGTCATATTTATATTCCTATAATTACCACTGTTGCTGTGTGACCCCGAGCTAATGCAGAAGGCAGCATCATCATCGCTCTTCAGCGGGGCTCAAGCGGACTGGAATGAGCGCTATGCATGCTAGTGCATGAGTAGTGCTTACTCTTGTCAAATGACCTGCTTGATCAAGTGGAACTCGCACTCCACTGGCAGTGGGTCTTGTCGTCGATTGGTCAAATATCACATTCGATCTTCTCCGCTGGGAATCGCATGATGGACAGTGTTTCCTCCCGTCTCACCGTTCATCGGGAGAGCACAGACAAGGCTATGCTTTATCGTCCTAGTAGCGACTAATCTTTTTAGCCCCCAATAGACGAGGCTTAGAGCTAAGTAAATCCTTCGCTGCAAAGCATATATTTCAACCCAAGGTCATGACCTTCCATCGACCCCGCAACAGCCCACACATTTATTACAATCATGCCGTGGACTACAACAGAGCACTCGCCGAACACTCTCACCCGGCCCCTTGGCCCTAACGAGGTGTTCATCAAGCTGGTCAGTGACTTTGGCCACCCACTAGGCCGTGAACACTGGGCAGTTAACTACACTATCACCATCCGTCCCCGCGGGGACTTCGCAGCCGATCTCCTCCCAGCCCTGATCCGCCACAGCTGGTTGCACCTGCGCTTCCAACACCCTAGTCTAGCCGCGCATCCAGACTCCTCCAACGCCAACCTCGTGTACACAATTCCTGACTCTGTCGATGCCCTCAACCAATGGGTCTCGCGGACCTTCTTCATCAAACCGGACGCCCAATCCGCCGACGATGTGATCCGTACCATCGCACCCGCCCCTGACGCCCAACTCTACTACATCCCAAAATCCTCGCAAATCCTCCTGCACACTGCACACTGGCGCACTGACGGAGTAGGCGGCTTCCTCCTCCTCGGCCAGCTCGTTGACCTAATGTCCACTCACGCCGACACCATTCTCTCAGGGAACCTCCCCAACGCCTTCGACGCCTTCACCTGGGGAACAGAAACCACCCGACTATCCCTATCCGTCGAAGAAGCCGGCAAAATGCCCTTAAACCCGACAGACGAGCAAAAGGACATCGCACAGGAAGCAGTAGAGACCTTCGCCTACGCCCAAGGCGCCGTCGGAATCCCATACACGGGAGACGCCACCACCATCCCGACGGGCACCCGAGCCGCCGAGCTAACCTTCACCCCGGCGACCACCGCCGCTGTTCTCTCCGCCACGAAAGCCCGGGGCCTCGGCATTACTGCCGCCACGCACGCAAGCGTCGCAGCAGTAAACTTCCGGCATGCTATACCCGAGCACCGTGCCCATGGTCGTCACTACACCAGCACTATCCGGCACACGCTGCGGCCGTATATGCCCCAACCATACTCCGGCCCCGCGGGAGCCGCCACGCTGTTCACCACGGGCTGGATGTACCGCGTCGACGCCTCAAGTACCTGGGAAGAGAATGCGCGCAAGTATCACGCTGAGTATCGGCGGGGACTTAGTGAAGAGTATATCCTCGCTCATCGCGAATATGCGACTATGTTGGTGAAGTTGCTGCGGAACCTTCCGGCACCGGATGAGCCGCCGAGTGATGTCGATATCAGTAGTTTAGGGGTTCTAGAGAAGTATTTGCAGAGGGAGTATGGAAGTCCTGAGAGTGGGTTTAGTATCTTGTTTGCGGGACTTGGGGTGGAGATGCTCGCAAGACAGGGCGTGGTGTATGTTTGGACGTTTCGGGATCAGTTGACGTTGAGGCTAGTCTTTAATGAGGCGTATCATACGGAGCAGCAGATGGAGGAGTTTTTGAAGGATATCAAGGCGGATTTGTTAAGGGAGTTGGGGGTGGAAGAGTAGTGGTTGCTACATTGGGATGGGGTCGGGAATAGGAGGGTTCTTATGATTCTTCTAGTGTTTGTGATATTTGCTTGACATTTACTGACTCGAAACACATCGAAGCGTTCCATTATGGGAAATACTAGGCTTGGTACATTTTCCTGTATCATAAACTAAGAAATGCGACCGATAAAAATCTCTTGGGTACTAAAACTACTACCTGTCAAGGAGAAGTAGCCGGATTCGAATCAAGGATAAGTCTACTCCGGAGTAAACTGACACTGTAAGCAAATCTGGTAACTTCTTTCTTCTACCGCAAATTCTACGATAAACTTTACTGACAGCGGCAGCAACTTCTGCCGAAATGGTGGATAGCCTGTAGGAACCCGAGACGTGTACCAGCAAACAGATAAGCGTGCCGAAGCAGGAAATCCAACGCATTGTCCCAGTTTTTGTATGTCTTGATTTCTGCTTTCTTTTCCAGTTTTATTCGGCAATGCGTATCATGATGATTCACGCAGCATTTATTTTGAAGTTTGACCACGTCCCGAATTCAGGATTCATGTATCTGAAATCTTGACCTTTATATAGTTTTCGCTTGAAGAAGCTGCGAATAAATAGTCCGATAAGCACTCCCTTATTCTTACATCGGATGTTATCACAAATTATCATCGATAAGGTTTGAACGCCATAACTGAGCCCTAGCATGAAGCACCCAACTTCAACTACTCCCTGTGAACCAATCGCCATCATCGGCATAGGTAAGAAGCCCTACTCCCTCCCAAACCCATAACAACTTCATACTAACGTTGGCCTAGGATGCCGCCTCCCAGGCCAAGCCTCATCCCCATCCAAACTCTGGGACCTCCTCATCAACAACGCAACAGGCTATGGCCCCGTCCCACCCTCGCGCTACAATGCCGCAGCATACTACCACCCCGACGCCGACCGACCGGGAAGCATCAACTCAACGGGCGGCTACTTCATCCAGGAGGACATACACGCCTTCGAAAATGTCTTTTTCGGGATCAACAACCTCGAAGCGACGTCCATGGATCCGCAGCAGCGAAAGCTCCTCGAAGTAACGTATGAAGCGCTCGAGAACGCTGGCGCACCACTGGAAATGATCCACGGGACCAATACCGGCGTTTATGTGGGTAATTTCACCAACGACTACTTGAACATGCAGTACAAAGACCCGGAGTACTCCTCCCGATATACTGCCACAGGAACAGGCCTGGCTGTGTTGGCCAATCGCATTACACATTGCTTTGATCTGCGAGGACCGTCGCATGTTGTTGATACGGCGTGTTCGTCGTCCTTGTATGCGCTGCATTCGGCTTGTTTGGCGCTGGATGCTGAGGACTGTGATGCCGCTGTGGTTGCGGCTGCGAATTTGATTCAGTCGCCGGAGCAGCAGATGGTCGCTGTTAAGGCGGGAGTTTTGTCGCCGGATGCGATGTGTCACACTTTTGATGAAAAGGCGAACGGGTATGCGAGGGCGGAGGGGGTGTCGGCTGTTTATCTGAAGAGGCTGGGTGATGCGCTGAGCGATGGGGATCCTGTTCGTTTGGTCATTAGGGGGACTGCTGTTAATGGGTGAGTTTTAATTTTGGTGGTAGGGCTAGATGCTAATCATGCTGCAAAGGAATGGTCGAACACCGGGCATTTCTCAGCCAAGTGTGGAAGGGCAAAGGGCCGTTATTCGGGCGGCGTATCGTCGGGCGGGTCTGGATCCGGGAGAGACGGATTATGTCGAGGTACGCTTCCTCGAATGGTGGCAAATCTATATGCTGATAATGAAAGGCGCATGGGACTGGCACTATAGTTGGTGACCCTACAGAAGTTGAGGCAATATCCGGTGTTTTTCAGCATCGGACAGGACGCCCAACGCTCGTTGGCGGAGTCAAACCCAATTTGGGCCACAGCGAAGGGGCGAGTGGTCTGTCGGGTCTAATTAAAACCATCCTAGCAGTCGAGAATAGGATAATCCCTGCGACGGTTGGGGTGAAGGTGATCAATCCGAGGATCAAATGCAAGGAATGGAACGTAGACATTGTCACTGCGAATCAAGCGTGGCCGGAATCCCGGGCTCCGCGAGCGTCTATCAATTCGTTTGGTTTCGGAGGTTCAAATAGCCATGCTATTGTTGAAGCATGGGAGGCAGACCTGCTGACAAACGGATATGGGGAATCGCCAGTTGAGGAAGATCCAGATAGGCTCTATTTCTTGCCTCTTTCGGCTCGATCTGAGACGTCCCTCCGACAGATGGCTAGCGATTTGGCTGTATTCGTTGCTCACTCAGCTCAACCTATTCAGGTAAATGATCTGGCATACACACTGAGCTGCCGTCGCTCCAAGATGGCTACTCGTGGCTTTTTCATCGGATCTCAGGCGAGTCTGAACGAGGGGCTCGATATGTCAAACCTGAATCTGAGAAGTCTC